TCGCGATGTTTAAAGGTTCCCAAATATCAACACTCCGGGGTGGTGTCCTTGTCACTTTGACTGGGTGGCTGAACACAGGCCCCACTCACAACTCTGAGGTAGCTCATACCTTCCCTACCCAACCAAGGAAGAAACGTAAGGCATGGACGGTGCAGCTCCCAAGGAGCAGATTAGATTCAAACCAGTGAACTTCTGGCCACATGCTGACCTACCTCCCAGGCTGAGATAACGTTGAAAATTAATCCAGGTAGAACAGTGTTCCATAAATTAGCTGGAAATGGTCCTTTGTGGATAGCTCAGGGTTACTTCCTGAAGAACAAGACTATTCGCCCAAAATCCACCTGTGTCACACTCCAAATGTTTACATATAATTATTTTAAAATAACCCAATCAAGCATGTCTACAGCCATTTAGAGCTGATATAGATTGGTCTGCTTCACTGACAATCAACTCCAAGACCTCTGTCGGCAAAGGCCACGTGTGCCAGGTCCAGAGAAGGCGGGATGAGACACAAGCAGACACAAGCAGGAACCTCCATCTCCTGGGAGCCTCGCTCTGATCGGTCCGTGGGAGGGATACTGTACAGACCAAGGGGCAGAATGATGGCAGGCCAGAGAAGGCTGCATTGCCGGGAGGCAGTGCTTTGAGCTCTAATGGATGGAACACTGCTAACCAGCAAAGGTGGAGAGAGTCTGCCTGAGAGCATGTAGAGGCAGCAAAGCACAGCTAGCCTCGGGAACCAGAAGCCACAGGACATCAGGTTGTGCTGCTGTCTGCCGGCCACCAGCTGGGGGACTGCATTGGGCCTGGAGGGACATCCCCGACACTCCCCCCCACCAGATGCCAGGGGCACCCCCAGCCCCAGGTGAGAACCATGGATCCCATGGCGACCGAGAGGCCAGCCTGTGGGAAGTGGGGCTGATAGCCTAAAGGAGCTTTACAGGGGGAAAGTTGCCCCATCAGGGGTTTGGTCACGTTGATGGCTGGGGTCAGGGCTGTCCTGGTCAGGAAGTGATTTGAGACAGACTAGAGAAGGGGCTGCCAAGACCAGCGAGCATTCGCTGTCTGGGTCCAAGGAAAAGGAAATAAAGGCTGGCGATGTGACAGTGGGGGGAGTACAGAGCAAAGGAACTGGTGGAGACATAGGGTGGCCCCACACAGGGCTTTGAGCAGCTACCCGGGGGTCGCCCCACACCTCCTCATGGCCCCAAGAGGCGGTTGCAGAAGATCCATCCTGAGTGACAGAACTGCTCCAGAGCCACACAGCTTAGGATTCAGTTAGAACCAAGATCCGGCCAGCCTCCAAAGCCGGTGAACTTGTCCCCTCAGCCATGGTCCTAAGACACGGATCAGAGCCCCCTGGACACACAGACACAGGAACTGCAGGAAGGGGAAACGGATGCCTGACCATGGGCGGGACTCCAGGGTTTCAGCCCCAGCTACTGGGAATGGAAATACTGCACAGGTGACACGGATGCTTAACCCGCGCTGGGGAAGGAGCCCACACTCTCAGGGGTGGAGACCAGCTTGACGGTCAAGCCCCTGTTGGCACAGCCTGAGCTGCCCCAACCTGTACCGAGGTGCCCCAACGCTGGGGTGCTCAGAGCCACTCAGCTGAGATCGTGGTGCTTCTGTAACCACCCTGCTTTTGCGGAGTAGATCTGGACTCCATCATTTGCAATGGGGTTCTAGAAAAGGCTGGCCAGCCAGGAAGTGTCCTGGGCTCTGTCCCAGTGAGATTAACTTGGCTGCCCACAAGGGCAGCCTGTTCACCAAGGGAGTGACTCCCGGGACCACGCCTGCAACCCACCTTGCTGGAAGATAATTCACTTCATCCGGTGGAAAGAATAAAGCTAGACTAACTCAATTTCACACTCACTTCCAACTTTAACAACTTGTGTTAGGAAATCAAAGACAAGGACTCTGACCATGTCAAGCCAAACCAGGAAGCAAACTGAGACTAACGGAATGATGCCACCTTCGCAGTTCCGAGCCTCTACTAGTTGTTTTTCTTTCAATCTGTTTTTCTCTTTGGGTTTAAATTGTCTCTGTTTCTCCTCTGTGTCTCTCTCCCTGGTTGCTCTGTTCTGTGCCTTTTAAAAGACTCTGTGTGTCTCTGTTTCTCTCTTCTCATCTTTCTACCCTTCTGCTGCCCTCTGTGTCTCTGCTTCTGACTTTTCTGTCTCTCTCTCTCTGCCCTCTCACTCTCCCTCTCTTTCCCTCTCTCTCTGTGTGTTTGTGTGTGTGTGTGTGTGTGTGTGTGTGTCTCACTCTTGGTTTCTCACTCCTCACTCATCTCGCAGCCTCTTTGGTTTCACTATGCAAGCTGACCTCCCACCTTGGCAATACAGTGGGATTAGCAGAACCGAGTGGACGCCACAGCCCCCTGCGGCCCGGGAAATCGTGAGCTTTGGCCATAGCTAAGCTCACAAGCATCAGTTTTTCCCACCACCTGGAGGATCTACTCCGCTCGTCCTTCCCGACCTGTGACCAGAGAATACCTGGGGCGAAGGTCGAGGAAGCCGCGCCCGGAGGCTCCCAGCGCAGCCCCAGGAGGAATCCTGCCGGCAACTAGGTTGTGGCGCGCAGCGGCTCTGCTTGAACAACCGGAGCGGCCGGGCCTGCTCGCGAACTCGCATCCAGGTGGGGTCTCCACGCCCCAATCTCCACCCCGCCCTGCCATCGGCGTGCTCTCAAGTGCAGGGCTTCCTTCGCCCAGACGTTCATGTTTCACCAAGGTCTCCCACCCGCCCGGTGAGATGCTCCCCGCTCTATCCTGGCCTCACCCTGGCGCGCCCCCAAACGATGTGACCCCGCCCCCCTGTGGTCTCCCCTCCCCCGGACGCTTCCTGCCCCCACCTGTGGCACTCCGGGCATCTCTGAAGTCCCCAACCAGAGCCTTCCAGCCCACTCCATGAGTCTCGAGCACCAGAGACGCGGCCCCCCACCCGCAGGGACCCCGCCTACCTGTGGCGCTATCCCCACGTCTGCGGCCCACTTCACCGCTAGCACGGCCCCCACCTACGACGACCGGCGTAGGTGCAAGTTCGCCCATCTCCTGCGCACTCCTGCCCGCACCTGCCCTTTCCCTGCACCTAGCCACGCCCCCGCTCCCGCAGCCTCCCGTGCGCTCGGGCCCTGCCCGTCACCGCCCATTGCCCTGGGGCGGGGCGGGGCAGCAGTTCCGACTCCCGCGGGCGCGGGCAGGGTCCATACTGCCTACCGCGCACCGGGACTAGCGGGCTCTCTCGACCTCCCCTCGCCATGGACACCGACGACTCCCAGGCCCCAAGGGCCTCGCGGAAGTTCGTGAGCACCTTCCGGGGCCGGCAAGGCAGTCGGCGTGCTGACCAGAGGCGAGGATGCCTGGCGGTGCGGCACCCTCCCGGCGGCGAGGGAGGCGACGGAAGCCGAGGAGAACAAGGCGAAGGGGATTTGGGGATGGGGCACAGGGGGAAGCCACGGGAGACGCGGGGAAAGGTGGAGGAGCGATGGAAGAACCAGAGAAGGAGCGGGAGAAGCGATGGAGAACTGGGAGAGTTCGTCGGCAGCGGCAGGGGCACTGGTGGGGCGGTGCATGAGCCAGCAAGGCAGCCTCGGGTCCTTGCCGGGTGGGGCGGAGGAGGAAGGGATACGGCGGTAGGAACCTCCATCCGGAAGATAGTGAGCTTTCCACCTCCGGTTTATGCTTTAAATTGAGCCTGACAGAGGGGGTCGCCTGAGGACCCTCGGGAGTCGTTCTGCCTCTGAGCTGTGGTGGATCTGGCCGGGCTTCCTCCGAAGCGTGGGTACAGCGCGATCACTTCCAAGTGGCCCCCGGCTCCAACTCCGCCCCCACGCCGCCCTCAGCATGTCGAGGAAGAAATGGCCGGGTCCCTGCGCGCGCTCCTGTCGCTCAAAAAGCCTGGCGCGGCGGGCGGGTCCTGCTGCTGCAATGTGGGACGCGGAGGAGTGCTCTGTTCCCGCCTGGCGCCTCCGAGGCGGTCCGCAGCCCTCGCTCGCTGGGAGATTTTAAAATGGGTTTCTGCCGGGCATGTGCTGTTGCCTCTCGGCTCGTGAGAAAACCGAAAACTAAAATGGTCCCAGGCCCTCCCTGCAGACCTCCATGGACGTAGCTGACCAGGAAGCGGGACTGGGACGCCAGCGGGCGCGCGCGCTGGCTCTGGGTTTCCCTGCCCTGCACGTGGAAGCGGCTTCTCCAGGAGGGACCTGAGTCTGGGTCCACCCACGCGGGCGCGCCAGGAGTGACATTTAACATTGAAGAGCCGGGAGGTGGTGGAGACTGCGCGCCCAGGCCCCGGGTGCACGTGGGAGGGCGTCGGTGCCCGGACGGTGGAGCGCCCCAGGCTTTGCAGCCCCTGGCGGGTGAGATCGGCGCTCCAGGCAACGCCACTGGGAGCCTTTTTAGTGATAGCGCGGCTGGAGACGCGACGCCGCTACCTGGGGCTGGGCCTTTGATTTTTATTTTCCCGGTTCCTCCTGCCGCAGATGCGTGAAAGGCGCGATGGCGGATTTCTCCCCGCTGACCGCACTGCACAAGGATGGAGCGTGGAATGGGCCCCCGCCTCGGTCTGGTGACCTTCCCTTCGCCCTGAGCGCGGCGCACGGGTGCTGCATGCTGGGGCGCTGTCAGCGCGCCCGCCCGCCGCGAGCCACGCGGATGCCCGCCCACGTCCATGCCCCGGTCCCTAATAATCACAATCACCACAAAGCTGCTGCTCCATCCAAACTGACACTAAAGGCTGCCCCCCAGTGTTAGCATGTGATGCAGACATGAGTCTGATAAAATTAGGAGAATATGGAATAGTTTAAGAAGCGTGGATTTAAACTGGGCTGGGAGATGTGCGAGTATTTAATGGACGCTTAGTTCTAATAGGACGAGAGGGCTTTCAGTCAAAGGTCAGAAGTAGAGGGAGAAGCACTGAGACACCTACTCAGCTGCGAAGAGCAAGAACCCCTCTGCACGGGGAAGAGGAATGATTCAGCCACCAGGGCAGGTGGGAAGGTCAGGGTTTCAAGGTGATTTTGGAATTTAAGTGCTGTGGGTCCTGCACAGTGGCTCATGCTTGTCATGCGAGTGCTTTCGGGAGGCTGAGGCAGGAGGGTCGCTTGAGCCCAGGAGTTCCAGAGCAGCCTGGACCACATAATGAGACTCTGTGTCTACAAAAATAAAAAGAAAGAAAAACACATTAAGATGCTGTATGTATTGGAAAGTATTTATGGGTTGTCTTTGAGCTCCATGTCCAAAAGCTTGCTAAAATGCTTGGGAGTTTGTGTACAGGTACGTGAAATTAGGATACATTGGTGAGAATTCTCCGTGTTCTCTGTTGCCTCTGGTTTTGCCACCTGGGAGGAGTTAAGACATGGTTGAGGTTAGTAAGTCCACGCCTTCTCTTCTGGGGAAAAAGGTACTTGGAAACCAGTATTATGTGGAACGTGGCTTGCTGGTACAGCCTCGGTTAATGGGAGACAGCTGCTCTCAGCTCTGCAGATGGCATCAAATACGTGGGTGGCCTTGAGCCCAATGTGGTCACACCTGCTGTCCCTGGAAAGCTCCGCCATGGCGGGTCGCCTGGGCTTCTTTCCTTGGCAGAGCCGAAGTCAAAATTTTTTTGTAAACTCTGTAAAGAGCTTTACCCTTCCGAGGTAAGGACCTTGAACCTGTTGGAGCATTTGACCATTTCTTTAAGGAAGTTCACTTTCAGATGCTTAGAGGGCTAATATTGTCTTAGCTGCCACAGATTTATAAATCCTTTAAGTAAGTTATTCTGAGAATTTATCTGGTTGTGCCCCATTCTTTTTGCCATTTTATTCTGATTCTGTATAGTACTTGATTTTCTGACATAGCGACTATTGCCTGTAGCTGAGGTCAGAGAACATATCTACATTCAAGTATCACTTAGGAATTATCTGTCAGATGTGAAATTATGGTATAATTCAATATATTAAATGACCATAGCTACCATTTGTTGAAAATATTTTGTATACTAGAGCTTTACAATTTATCTCCAAGCCTAGATACATGGTCCCAAGAGAGGCATGCCTCATTTTGAAGTGGGAGAAAGACTCACAAAGAAAAATAACTTAGGTAAGGGAGTGAGGTATTACGATTGTGGTAGGAGCAAAACAGATCCCACTCCAAATATTGTACTCTCCTTAGACCACGAAGAGTACTTATGTCTGGCTCTGTCACCCAGGCTGGAGTGTAGTGGTGCGTTACAGCTCACTGCAGCCTCAAACTCCTGGGCTCAAGTGATCCTCCTGCCTCAGCCTTCTGAGTAGGGGAAGACAGGAATGCAGCATCATGACTGCTAATTGTTATTATTATTTGTAGAGACAGGATCTCACTATGCTGCTGAGACTGGTCTTGAAACTCCTGGCCTCCTCTAGTGAGCCTCCTGCCTTGGCCTCCCCAAAGAGCTAGAATTACAGACCTGAGCTGTCATGTCAGGCTCCACCATGCTTTCAGGGCTTTTCTAGTAGTTCTTATTCTAGTTAATGCTCAAAAGTGAGCAAAACCCAACTTGCTCAAAATTACGAGATATTTTGGGTGGTTTTGTAAGGGGAACAGAAAATAACTTTTTATAGCGATAGGAGTCAAGGTGGCAAAATGATATTAAGGTTTAATACCAACGCTGAGTAGCTGCTTTTCTCCTCCCAGTAGAGTTCATTATTTAATTATAATATAAAAATTGAAAATATCTTTCCCAGATTCCTGACTCCTAGGTCTTTGAAATGAAGAAAGTATTTCTCAGGCTGGGTTTTTTGTTTTTTTTTTTTTTTTTTTTTTTTTTTTTCCTTCTTCTTTTTGGGTATCTTCTGTCTCAGGCTCTGGGTTTTTGTTTTTATTTTTTTTTCCTGCTTCTTTGGGTATCTCTGTTGTCCTAAGACATATCTGGAAACTTAAATTGATTTTCACCAACTTAAAATAAGCTCCACAGCTCTGATCGCGGACTGACCATGACTAAGTACCCACCTGCCACATCACGCTGTGCCACACACCAAGAGTGACTCATTGTCTTCGTCACAGGTTGTGGCTTCTGCAGGGCCTGTACCTGGTGGAGCTGAGTGTACTGGGAAGTCCAGGCATTCTTAGGTGGGCTGGATGCGAAAGCGCCCTTTTGCTCGTGGTGACGTGGGAACATCAGCTAGCAGTATTTATAGAAAGTCTGAAATGTAGTAAGCTTCAACCTTTCCAATCCTAGTGAGAATAGCTAGCGCTTAGTGACTCTTTGCATATGTGGCAGGCCCCTCAGTGATCCTGGGTACTGACTGATCCCCACTTTACACATGAGCAAGGGATGCCCGAGGTGTACTGCTTCCCTGAGTTCACAGAGCTCCCTGGTGTGGCCAGGCCCTGTGGCTGCTGCTGCAGGGATGTTCAGGGCTTGTAGCTGTGTCTTCACTGGTGTCCATCCTGCGCCAGCACTCACGCCTGGCGTTGACAGGAACGCAAGCGTTTGCTGCCTGCCTCCCTGAATTCGACTGAGGAGCAGGAAACCAGGGGTTCTAGCTGTCTTCTTCATTCATGAAGTCCTTTTAGAGAATCAGGTCCTTCTAATCAAAAGTTTCCAATATCCCCTAGGTCAATGCGTATAAAACTGTTAAGACTTCAAGATTACAACCTAAAAACCGGGTTGAAGTGTGAGGTTTCAATTGACTGGACATGCATTAGGTCAATGACATATTTATTGACACCAGGCTTGAGCCCTACATGGGCACCTTTGGTATCTGAAGCAATATTCCTTGGGTGGTTTTGTGAGGGGAATAGAAAATGACTTTTATAGCTTTATAGGAGTCAAGATGGCAAAAAAATGATATTGGGCGCTTAATACCACGTGATGGGCTGCTTTTCTTCCCCAGTAGAGTTCTATATTATTTAATTATAAGATAAAATTGAAAATCTCCGACAATGCTTCAGAGCCCAGTAGGATGGTGAGGTGAAACTGAGAATAAAAAGCATTTCTCCTCACACAGCTCCGCGCTCACCATCCCCGTACACATTCTTTGATGGATCTTTTTCAGTGTAAAGTGCAGTAATTAATTTTGCAAAACTTACTGGGTCTGGGAGGCAGATGATGAGGGAGGAAGCTACTCTCACCAACCCTCAGTGGAGAGGGAGAGAAAAAGAGAGAGAGAGTGAGACATGATGGCATCATTTTCTATGAATGCAGACCACCTGTGTGCTATACTGATGACCTTCGGCTAGATATTTTGTCATCTTTCAAAGAAGTATGTTTTTCCTTGGTTACAGAAAACTAAAAGCTTTTGATACAGGACTAGTAACTTTATCAGGGAGAGACCAGGGCCTTTAAATAAGCTTCCACCAGTCGGATGGGCTAGAAGTAATTAAAATTAGAAAGATGAAGATGTGCACACTTGATAGTAATGTTGATATTTAGGATAGGTTTATAGTAGGCAGAGAATGTGGTGGGGGACAGGGAAGAGAGGGGCTATGGTCAGCAGTTTTCGCTGCACTTATGCTCTTTCACAAGCCCTGGTGTTGTGTCTGCTATTAGAGAGCAGCCGCCCAGGAGGCCGCCGTTTCCCTCCCACCGTCTCTCCGGCATCTTCTACCCTAACCCCAGCAATTTCTGGAAATCACAAAAGCCTGGCCGTGATTGGAAGAGGCAGCCAGACACATGGCAGATCAGGAGCACTGAGAGGTAGAGATTTATTAAAAGTCCTGGCCATGGGTTCTACTTGTCTCGAGTACAGAAATCAAGTTTTTCTTCTCTGCAGAATGGAGGTAATCACCTAGTCTCTATCTTCTCTCCTGTCTCTTTTCTTCTGCCTCCTCTAACATGAATCACAGGAAAAGTCTTCAGGAGGCAAAAGAGAAAAGGCTGACTGTGCTGGGCTCCCCTCAACCCCGGGCCCAGCATTTTGCCGTCTTCCCAGCTTCCGTGGTGCTTCCAGAGCCGCCCTGGGAGCCTTTGGAGGCAGATCCTGACTGTGTGGGTCTCAGTGAGGCTCCGACTCTCACGGGAGGCGCCGGTGCTGGGCGGGTCCCCGGGGCAGTGCCGCGGCCTGCAAATCCTGCAGACTAGCTTCTCCATTCGGTGGCTCTCCAACATCAAGATGTTCCCAGGAGTCCGGTGGGATTGTTTTCTGACTTTGACTAGGATTTGATTGAGAAGATTCATTAATAGACCCTTGTCTTAATGTACATATGTAAAAATGATCTGATCTGGAAGTTTTCTGAATGGAAAATGATTGAAGGAGTGGTATCCAGTAGCCTTCGGGAGTCATTCATATCTTTCAGCTGTCTTAACACATTAAGATTTTGTTTGTGTGTGTGGCGGGCGGGTGGGGGACGTTGAGATGGAGTCTGCCTGTTGCCCAGCCTGGAGTGCAGTGGTTTGATCTAGGCTCACTGCAACCTCTGCCTCCCGGTTTATGATTTTCCTGTCCCAGTCTCCCAAGTAGTTGGGACAGATATGCCACCATGCCCACCTTTTTTTTTTTTTTTTGTATCTTTAGTAGAGATGGGGTTTCACCATGTTGGTCAGGTTGGTCTCGAACTCCTGACCTCAAGCGCCTCCACCTGCCCCTCGGCCTCCCAAAGTGCTGGGATAACAGGCTTGAGCCACCACCCCCAAAGCCTATTTCTGTGTTTCTGTAATCATTGGCGCATATTAACGACCGCCTTCGGTGAGTCAGGGCAGGCTTTAGGCAAAAGAACTAAGCCATCTCCGCCTCTGCGGCTCTCTACTCCTGCGAGGTGCGGTACAATGTACCTGTGAGCCGGACCTGAGAAGAAAAGCTCCTGGTCTTAAGGAAAAATTGTGGAAGCTCTAAGTTAAATGCTTGACTGACCGGGAGGGTGAGGGAGAGTCAGAGGTGGGTGGGGCCAGTGAGGACTTTGGATTCGCCTTGGGAACTGGGAAGCAGACTGACTGTCTCCGATAAGGGTGGCTTTGTGAGAGGAGAGGACAGAGGGGAGGTCGTGTGAGCCTAGGTCCTGCAAGTGAGTTACAGGCAGATGGAAGGTTGGTGGGCATGTGGCAGGGCAGCCTTGTGCCCATAGGACACACCCCGCCGAGGAGACCCAGGGACTCAGCTATGACAGCTGGAAGGCGGAGCATGTGAGCTGCAGCAGACACAGGCAGGTGGGGTAAAAGGAGAGTCTTCGCAGCAGTGCTTAGAATAGTGCAAAG